GAGCAGCCTGGCTCTTCAGTCTGGAAATTAGATGAGGTGGGAGGAGTATGAAAAGGTGGAAAGCCGAGCTTTTAGGAATCATGAAGTCTAAAAACTGAAGTTCAGGTGCTCAGAAGAACACGTCTTCAGTTTAAGAGCTCTGCAACATGTTCCAGGGTTTGGTTCATTGCCGGCCTTTGAGATATTTGGCCTATTTAACTCAGTTAAAATATACACGTACCTGAATCTTGTACCTACTAAGACGCAATTTCTTACTATAAACGGAGCTTTATTCTGACACTGGTTAGGAACGGTTTTTGTGGTTACATCTTGGTCATTGAGTTTAGGGTGTATGGGGATTCCGTTTTGGTTCAGCGAGGCAATCCTTTGAAAGTCCCCCATGTGGAATGTGTACCCTCTGGTCAGTTTTGGTGGGGAGGGTTCAGCGAGGAGCTGTATCAAAGTGTTCAGCCAGAGTCTTCTGCTTCCCTGTTATGTTGAGAAGACTTGATGCTGGAAGCTGTTAGGAAACTGTCCAGAAGCTTCACGTAAGATGTGATTTTAAACATAAAGTCTTAGTTTGCCAAATGATGGTAAATGCTTTGGAGGATCTTGAAGGGCCTAGAGTTTGTTTGTTGGTGTTATGGGAGACAGGCAGCTTCTACATGGATTTGAGGTAGGCCTTGAAGGATTGGGATAAGAGCAAAGCACTTCGTAATAGTGCAGCTGTAGTTTACATATTAGCTTACTTGATTCTGCTGAAACACTGAAGTAGGTTGGTGATAAGAGACCTGAGGCTCAGTGGTTGAAGTGACTTATCTCAGGACACCTAATACTAGTGTGCTGAGATGCAAACCCAAGTGTTTGGATTATGAGGGCCAACCGTGTTACCATAAGCAAGTCAGTGAGAAGGGAGTTGGCCTGGACAGGGAGAATAAAAGCTGGTTCTAGACAGATAATTTGGACTCCTGCTTCCTGCTGCCTCAGTGGGTGGTGGCTGTCCCTGAAGTAAGGCCTGATGCTGGGGCCTTAACCAAGCTGGTTAAGTTTCTGGGCACAAAGTTTCCACACAAATCTGGTTTAGGGCTAGCTCTTGAATGCTGACTTAGTTTTGTTGCCTTACATGGTGTCAGAAGTACAGGCACAGGGTAAGTTTCCTTATAAACGTTATGATGTTAGCAGGTACCAAATACGTCTTCAGCTTTGGGCAGGAAAATGATTTCCAGGTGGGAAATACAGTTAGCCTGCAGTTTGTTTCCCCCCCCCCCCCCCTGGAGTTGTCTGGTCTTTGGAAGAGGTAGAAAGAAGGCAGTCTGAAAAGGTTACAGAACTTTCTTAACACCTGCTTAAGCAGGGTCAACTATACAGTTTAACCTGCTTGTAAACTCTGTGGTCAGGAATAGAAGCACGGGTGGAAAACACTACTACTTGTTAATTTGTGCTAAATTAAAGTTCTTATCAGAATACCGTTGTGTTGAAGCAAGAGATAATATTAAAGAATCACTGTCAGTTCTTATGCTGCCATCCAGACTATTTTAAGGGCTGGGGTGGTGGTGATGTCTTAGACTTCCCAAAGCACCGTCAGGGAAATAAGTTGCATCCTCACGCTGCTAGGAGTAGGTACTCTATAGCTGGCTCGGAGAATTTTAAGGTAAATCAGAGGTGAGATTTGAATCCAGGCCTCCGTGATCAAAGTTAAACTCACTTGTCAGAGGATAGTTTTAAGATTAGGGTTTATAGACCTGGCAGAGGGAGGAGACAGCTGGGATAAGATCCTTCTCTGTTGTTCTTATTTCCGTTTCTTCTCCAGACCATTTATTTAGAATTCCCAGGACAAATGGTATGGCTTTTGATGTTTCTTCATCAGTTTGAGCTTTGAACTTTAACCCTGGTCCTCCTGTTTTAGTCTTAGCTACTCTAACTCAATTTTATGGTCTGTGCTTTAATCTGTACTTCTTTTATTTTGTTCTTAATATTAAATGTTTAATGTTAAAGGTTTACAAGTTGCTTTCATTCAGACCAGGTCTTAACTGTTCCCTGACAGTCAAGTTCACTTCTACCTTGAAGCCACTCTATGTAATAACATATATAATTATTAATTAAAGAGGAGATCATCTTTCCTTCTTAAACTAAAGTAAATTCTGTGTAGGTCAAGTGATTAACTGCAGAAAGTACAGCCATAGCAGCACTAGAAGAAAATTAAGAATGGCTTCTGTAATTTGGGGGTGTTCTAATCCTGACCCAAAGGCCAGGAACGTAGGAAGACTATTTTTTAGTTTGACCACGTAAAAACAAAGTTATGCACAGCAAAAAATCCATCATAAGCAAGGTTGAAGACAGGTAACAAGGTGGAAAAACTGGAAAAGTCAGTATTTGTCATATGGAAAGAACTACTACCAAAAGACAAGGATGAATAAATACCAAAAGAAAAAAAGAGAAAGGAAAAATAAAGTGGACCAGTCAATATATGAAAAGATGTTTAACTTCAGGAAGAATCCAAGTAATGCAAATAAAAATGAGGTCATTTTAAAATCTATTTAGATGGATAAAGATTTTTAAAAGGTTAACAAAACCCAGTATTGACACTGGGTGGGGGAGCAGGCACCCTCATAGACTGGTGATGATGTAAATTGGTAAGCTTCTCTGCTGGGCAGTTTATCAGCATGCGTTACAGTTTAAAATATGCATACACTTTGACCTAGCGATTTCACTTCTAGAGATTCCTTTTAGAGATCCAGGGAGAGAGTTATTCGACATACAGTGTGTAATTGTGGAAAATTAGGTGAAACATAAATATCCCCTGATATTGGGAGTGTTGAGACAACTGTCTGCTTGTATAGTGGGATATATTTGTGTGTGTGTGTGGGGTGGGGGGTACCCGGGCCTCTCACTGCTGTGGCCTCTCCCGTTGCGGAGCACAGGCTCCGGACGCACAGGCTCGGCGGCCATGGCTCACGGGCCCAGCCGCTCCGCGGCACGTGGGATCCTCCCAGACCGGGGCACGAACCCGTGTCCCCTGCATGGGCAGGCGGACTCTCAACCACTGCGTCACCAGGGAAGCCCAAGTGGGATATATTGATGATGTCCTTATTCATATCTGTTTTTATTGAGTGGAAATAACAAATTACGGAAAAGCAGTATACGTATTGGGACCCCTCGGTATCCAAGTGTCTCTCTCCACTCTGGGCTTGTGCGCACGCAGGTAATGAGAGCCTGGGGTGCTGCTTCCCAGGATCACCAGAACGTTACTGTGGTAATCTCTGGAGGGTGGACTTAGGGTTATTTTAACTTTCTTGTATATTTCTATATAGTATACATCTGTGTGTATGTGCTCAAAGTGAGCGGATATCATTTTTAAAATTGGAAAACATGAAGGGCATTTTAGAGATGGGAAAAGTACAGAATGCTGCTGGAATGTATGGCAGGTAGGAGGTGGGGAGCAAGGACCTCAGAGTCCACAGAGGGCATCCCTACTCCTTTACATCTACCCAGATATATAGTGTAGAACCCTGTTGCAAAGGCAAGGGTAGCCCGCCCATGCTTTCATGACCTTGAGTTAGCTTGAGTGGGTGGCTGTGATCAAATGAACTGGGTAGGGCTGACCCAGTTCTGTGTTTGCACCTAGTACACCTGCACCCTTTTTGCATGTACGTATCTGTTTGCCCCGCTTGTTCAAGCAAGGTCATGGGTTTGTTCTCTATACCAGTCCTTTCCCCTTCCAGTACATTTCTTCCAAGGCACTGTCTGTAACCCTGTCTCATTGGTGGTCAGGGAGAATTGAGTTGGGTTGGCCTAAATCCAACCTCATAAAACCAAAGGCTTGTTGCTCAGTTAACTGGAATCATCTCAGAGGACAAAAGGCAGCTCTTTTTTATGTACTTGATTATACAGTTCCTTCGTATATACAGTATACGAAGTTTCTACTTCGTCTCACTTATTCCATTCTCTCTTTCTCAAGGGCATGGATTTTGCGCTTCATAATTTTCTTCTCCTCGTAATGCTTTTCATTGCCTAATTCAGTAATAGAGGCAGCATTAGTAAGCATTGACAGAAAATGATGAAATAAATAAGGCCTATGTGGGACTCTTCGGATGACTTTTTTTTTTTTTTTTTTTAAAGCAGAACTGGTTCTTCAGAGTTAGAGGAAAGCAGGGCTCCTTTGCATTACTGGAGGGTGTTGGAGGTGGTGGGCATCCTACCCTAGCCTGGGAACAGAGCACACTTCATTCCCTTCTTTGCCAGTTTGTCCCTCTTGTAGAGGGACTGCTGTGCGTTTGGAGCTGAGCAGGGACTTTTCTTACTTTCTCTAGAACAGCCCGTGCTGCAGACACTCAGGACACATTTTCCTAAACTCAGTGGAACCGTGGGCCCTGTCAGTGAGGTCCTGGCATTTGATGCGGAATTGTGGTGAAACTTCACAGATAGCCAGAATACCTTGACTTGACTGTCACTCTGGACTTGAGTTCTGTTTCAGCAGTGTTTTCTAGGCTTGTTTGAAATGTTGAGGCTCAGTGAAGGCTTCCAAACATTAACGTCCTCTTTCAGTTGTGCAGGCATTGAGACAAGTGGGAAGGAGGTCTTCTTCCACTTGCTCTAGACCTTATCTTGAGAGATAGACTGCTTTGGCGGTGCCCCTGCTCCCCAGGGTTCTGACTCCGGCTTGAATGAACTTGTTGTATGAATGTGCCCTGATATGCCGTTATTGAATAAGTGTTCGGAGAGGTTTGCAATCCCACCAGGTTAAATGATTACATAGCCTTAAACCGTGTAGATTTTCCAGTTCAATTAAACTACCCATTATCTCTTAAGTGACCAATAACGCGTGCAATTATGTCTTACTTTGCAAGTGGGATTAATATCTGCTGTTTATCTCAAGATAAATATTGCTAACATAGCCTGGGAAAGCAATTTTATGCCCTCAAGAGTGAGGCAGTGGAGGACTCAGATGTTGGGTATGAAGTTTTATCTTTCTGAACTGATTATGAAATATACTAAACATTTATATCGCTTTGTCTTTATAGACTGAAATCGCCAAGAGATTGAATACGATTTGTGCACAAGTCATCCCATTTCTGTCTCAGGAAGTAAGTAAAACTGTTCAGCTGTTAAAGTGCAATTATGTTGCTTCTCTGTTTGCAAATTAGCTAGTTTTAAGATGTTAATTTTATCACGAGGAACAAGTGTGAAGAACATCTGTTACAGCTGAAGTGTGTAAACCCCCTGCTGTCCCATCTAACAGATCTGAGGGGACACTGTAGAAGTGGTGACAATAGCTCAACCTTAAATTAATTTTTTTCTGTGGAAAACTGCAAAACGACTATCAAGCATAAAGCTTTTCTTTCCTCAGAGGAGTAGTATAAATAAGCTTGATAGCTACCGATGATTCACGTGTCCTTTCTCTAGAGAGCTTTTCGTTTACTGCATTTTAAAAATGGTTCCATCAGGGTTGACTGGACCACGGGAGCAGATATTTCCTTTGTCCTTGTACCTCGGGGCAGATTGACTTAATGCCGTCCATGGAGGGAGTGGATGCCAATACTATTAAGGATAAGACCATTCATGTTACCTGTTCATGTTACTTTAGCTTATGGAGTTATATACATATATAAGCCATTTTCTTAGGTTACAGAGTAATAGAAGTTTACCCTTAATATTTGAGAGGGAAAAGCTCTTTATGTGGGTAATCTATGACTCAAAACTAGTTATGTTTTAGTTTTGCCTTTACTTTTGGATATAAGCTAATAAATGCAGAACTGTTTTAAGTGTGTACAGGATGCTTATATCTTGAGACAGTGAAAAACTTATGGGCCTTGGAGCTGGAATACTGAGTGTTTGCTCTCATTGGCATCTACTTTTCCATGCTGGGTAGCACCATCTCTGCTGTTATTATGGCAGCCTTTTCCAGCATAGTATTTACTCGATGTTACAGTTTAGATTTGTTGGCCTTTTTTTTTTTTTTTAATTTATTTTTGGCTGTGTTGGGTCTTCTTGCTGCGCTTGGACTTTCTCTAGTTGCGGCGAGCGTGGGCTTCTCTTGTTGCGGAGCATGGGCTCTAGGCATGTGGGCTTCGGTAGTTGTGGCTCGTGGGCTCAGCTGCTCCACAGCATGTGGGATCTTCCCGGACCAGGACTCGAACCTGAGTCCCCTGCATTGGCAGGTGGATTTTTAACCGCTGCGCCATCAGGGAGGTCCCCTATTGGCCTTTTGAAGCCTGTTGTTCATTAGATTTTAGTAATCCTGGTCTCTGCTACAGTCTCCTTTCTCCCAAAGAGACCTGTGGCTTTGTTTTTATTTGTGGGTGCAGCTGGGAGGTGCGCAGGCTATTTCCAGCCTGTGATCTCAGAGTGTGTGTGGGGAGGGCAGGGGGCGGGGTCTTTCCTTTCCCCTGTGGAGGGTGAAACATCTAGGGGCTAAAGGAGGAGAGGAATTCCCAGAGTTTCCAAAAACCAACTGGTGGGTTGAGATTTGTTGACCAGAGAAGTGATTGCAGGCTTAATATTTAAATTTTAAGTATCAAAAGGGGTGTTTTTAAATGGCTGTAAACTTTTCCTGCTCAAACTTATCATAGCAAACCCATTCTGAGAACCAGGGTGATCTTCCAAATCCCATACTGTTTATTTTCTAAGGCCTCCCGTTACCATTTTTTTTTTTTTTTTTTTTTTTTGTGGTACATGGGCCTCTCACTGTTGTGGCCTCTCCCGTTGCGGAGCACAGGCTCTGGACGCGCAGGCTCAGCGGCCATGGCTCACGGGCTCAGCCGCTCCGCGGCATGTGGGATCTTCCTAGACCGGGGCACGAACCCGTGTCCCCTGCATTGGCAAGCAGACTCTCAACCACTGCGCCACCAGGGAAGCCCCCTCCCGTTACCATTTTTGATGTCCTCCTTTGACTTTCTACCATTCCGAGCCCCAGATTCCCATCAGAAGTAAAGTGGTAACTGGCGTTGGTTAGAACTAAAGGATGCACCGCTCTCAGTTTTCCTTTGCCGTTTGTCTGTGTGTTCTGTGGAACAATGTGTGCTCAAGCAAGTTCACATTTAAAGACATATTACACTTCAGTCTGCACCTCATGTGGCATTTGTCTTATTGTTGGAAGGTACAGTGAAGGTCTTGGCTGCCTTGCTAACACTTTTCCTTCTCCTTGTTTTCAAAGCATCAACAGCAGGTGGCCCAGGCTGTCGAACGTGCCAAACAGGTGACCATGGCAGAGCTGAATGCCATCATCGGGGTACGTGGCCTACCAGGTCTACCTCCTACAGTGTGTATAACCAGCTTTCATTTCTTCTTAATTTGTTGGCTTAATATATATCTATCTATATATAATGTTGTGTCGCTTGATCTTAACCCATTTGATAAGCCGGGGGTGGCAGTGTCAGGTATGCTGAGGTGTGTAGGGGAAGAAAGATTAGCATAAGGGAGATGATAGAAACATTTTTAGGAGGGGAAGAAAAAATAAATCTTCTTTTCAATGGAAAAATAAATGTAGTTTATCTTGCTCCCTTAGGTTAAAGCTTTGGCAAGGGTTTTAAATATGTACTTTCCTTACTTCTGTTGTATAAACTTTAGATCCCAGTGAGGTCAAGACGTAGCTCGGCATTATTTCATTTCGTTGTCTTTTGCTTTTTTGCCTTTTGCTTTCCCAGGGTATTAGAACCTATGCATAACTGTTTTGCTTTTCTTGTGCCTCTTTCATGAATTTTTAAGTGGCACCCCAATGAAAAGAAAGCCCTCTTGCCGCTGAAGAAGTGATGATTGTCTGCCCTAGTGCCCTCTAGCCTTTCACCAGGTTTCTGCTCTCCTGGGTTGAGTTCAGTCAGTGCTCCTTGCTGGCAACTGGTTGTCAATCACAAGTCATTTGCTCCGCATTAATGAGCCTGGTGAACTGTTGGGTCCATCCCCTGCATGAGTTCATCCCCCCGCCCGCTCACTGCAGGATCCAGGACGGTTCTCATGTTTTCTGCCCTTCCAGACTAAGCGAAAGAAGTAGCTGAAATAAGCGACCGTCCTTGCTGATTTTATTCATATGTGAGTGCCTTGAGCGGATTCAAATCACTCATTTATCAATTTATGTTAATTGCTTGTGAGAAGATGCCCTGCTGGTCTTTATAGTTCCCTCAGACACTTTGTAATGATAATTAGACATGCTGCTGTACGGATTAAGAGTGCCATAGTGCAGTGATGGCCACAGACAATGGAACCAGTTAATCCATCAGGGTTTAAAATTACATCCCAACTGGAGATGGAGAAAAAACATAAGAGCCAAGGAGGATTAAAGAATGAGCCTCAGCTTGAAAACTCTCCTTTCATCAGTTTCTCAATTGCAGATCTGCAGTCGGGTTGCCTGTGGTAAGCTATTGGCAGTCAATTAGGTGAAATAAACTGGGAGGGTGACCTTCATTTCCTTTTAATAGCTTTTTCCTCCCTGAAATGGGGAGCTTCAGTGGATTTTCAGCTTAAATTTTATTCAAGCTGCTTTATTACACTTGACAGCTTAGCTCTGCATAAACAATTCTCCCCTCCTCTTCCCCACAGGTCTGGGCTCTGCATCTCTCCCCCTTAGTGTCACATTTTTGACTGTTACTTAGTGGGCTCTCTAATCACATTCAACAAAAAACACAATTACATCTGCATTTGTCTGCCGCCTTCTGTACGCTTTTCTTGTGTAATGAATTGCTTTATTTCAGAGATCAAATCAAATATTCACTGGTACTTTTGCATGTACCGTGTTTGATTAGCAAAGACTAATAGCAAATTGTACTTGTAGCTCGAGCACAGAAATTTTTAGCCCAGATGAATGAGGATGGAAAAGCCTGTTTTGATTAAAGGAAAACATATGCAAGGCAGTTCTCAAGTACCCAGTTACATTTTGTGGAACATGTTTGTTTTCTGATAGGCTCTGAATTTTTACGTATCATTTCTCAATGGTAAAACTTTGTACTCTTACATTCTCAAAGGCACTGCCCAATCCTGTCCATTAGAAAGGAGGAAATTGTGTTAACCAGATGTTTATAGGTAATACTCATTTTGAGTTGAATCAGAAAATAAAAATAGCAGGTTGTTCTGGAAGGGCAGATGAATCGCTAATTTTATGAATGGCTTTAGTCCAGGAAACATGTTGTTGAGATTATAAAGGCAGATTAGCTCCGATAGCTAGCAACAATAACCCAAATCAGTGAATTGGGCCCAGCACAAGACCTAACGCCAGTTGCAGGTCTTCAGCATACTGGCATGTGCGGCTTTTATAATTGTAATTTTTGGATCAGTATATTAATTTATGTCAGCAGGCTCTTTTAAAGTTTGTAGTGATCAATAATTATCCCGCACCATAAGTTTCATGCTGTGGCATATGCTTGATTTTTGCTTGAAAGGAATTGTGCGCGTCCTGGAAAATCGAAGTAGCATAAAATTGGGTTGACAATTCAGCAGACCTTTGCACCCCTTCATTGAACATGCAGTGTGTCAGCCTGTCTCCCCAGAGGGGAGGAGGCTCTGGGAGGCTGTCTGTTCCTACAAGCAGCAGCTGCGCGCAGGGTAAATGCAGCCCGGTTTGATAGCAGCTGTCAGTATTGTTCAGGGACAGACTTAGGGTAAAGAACACTGGGAGAGGCCATGCTCTTCGTCTGCATCGACTTTCAAGCTAAGAAAAGAAATAGTAATTTAACGGTTTAGACATCTATTACAAGTGTGAAAGATCATGAAAGAGTACCCTTTAAAATGCAAATGAGCTGAAACATTCTCATTCCCTTTAAGGTACAATCAAGGAGCTTACTGCTTGCTTGACAGGGCTACAGATATTTCTCTTTAGCAAACCTGGAAAAAGTTAAATCTTCTCAAGGACACCAGGCTTCTAGGTAAGCTCAGCTGTGTCCTGGGACCGTGGCTGCTCTTTTAGGAGGAAGAGAGAGGTTATGGTTTCTTCCGTTTTTGTAGCGTGAATTAATGGTGCCCATTTCTCACCAGCATAGAAAACTTAGTTCTCATATCTGACGGAAAATACTGAATTTTAAATCTTTTTCACCACAGCACCTGCCTTCAACCTACGTAGATTCCTGGTATTTAAGAAAGATAAGCTTCTTAGATATTTGATACTTGGAGAAACTATTGAGATATTTTTTGTTATACTTTTTTTTTTTAACAGCTTGACTGATGGCATATCTGGTAATTGGCAGACTAATAACTGCAACCTTACTTTTTGAATTTTGCTTTTTATAAGCTCTTTTGTTATTAAACGTGTTACGTTCTTGTAACAGTAAAAATGCAGAGATCTTAATAGATACAGGGTTTGTTTGGTTTGGCACAAACTCCCTTGTACTTGAGAAAACAAGTTCATTGTGGGAAGGAAACTTATGTATTTGAACCTTGGTGGGTTTTTTTTTTCCCCAAACATCAGGATAGTCTCCACAATTTAATCAGCATTCCTCAAAGATTTTTTTTTTAGTTTGGAATGCTATTAAAAATGCTCAAACCGAAGTAGGTTATTGACTGACGTAACATTTTATTTGTGGGATAGCTAATGGCTACCAGAAGGAAAGGAAAATTGACGGACGGGCTCTTCAGATCACTCCCCATTGTAGTATTTGGGGAGTTGGGAACTAAGAGCTCTCTTCTACCTGCTCTGATACTACAGAATTGACTTTAAGTTGAGATTGGGATTCCAAATAATTAGTGTTATCTTTTAATTGGGTTTATATCACGTATAATTAATATAAATCATATAAATATAGATATGGATATATACATACCTGTACACACACAGATTTTCTAAAAAATTGATGTGTAATTCACAGGTGAGATGCACACCTCCTGAGTGTACGGATTGATCACTGGCACATGCACACACCCTGTAGCCCACATTCCTCTCTGGGTGCAGATTGTTCCCACCTCCCCAGTTAGTCCCCTTGTGCTTCTCAGCCAAGTTTTCCCACCCCCCTAAAGAAACATGGTTGCTTTTTGATTAAAAAGTAGAAGAGTAAAAGAATAATTAGCAGAGTGTGATTTTCTTTATTGAAACAGTTACACAGTTGTATATCTATTTCTAACCAAATACCTACTGCCTAACTTCTCAGTGTTTTATGCTCATCTTCCTAAGACCGTTTGTATTGTGTTAACCTGGACAAAGCCTGGGCCTAGGATGAGATGCACTTGGTTGGGACTTTGCACTGCCACTTTTTATTTTTATTTTAAAAAAAATGTTTATTTATTTTATTTTTGGCTGCATTGGGTCTTGGTTGTGGCACATGGGATCTTTCGTTGCGGGGCACGGGCTTCTCTCTAGTTGTGGCACGAGGGCTGTCTAGTTGTGGCCTGCGTGCTCAGTAGTTGTGGCACACGGGCTTAGTTGCCCTGCGGCATGTGGGATCTTAGTTCCCAGACCAGGGATTGGACCTGTGTCCCCTGCATTGGAAGGTGGATTCTTAACCACTGGACCACCAGGGAAGTCCCGGCACTGCCACTTCTTAGCTTTGTGACGTTGTACAGCCAGTTAACCTCTACCAGTGTCCTTCTACAGGACAATGGATAATACCATTTACCTTGCATGGCTTTTGTGGGGGGTAAGACCTTGGCTGGCAGCCTTCAACGAGCATGTGGTGCTGACACCCTGAACTGAGGTTCTGTCTGCCTGGTTTCTCTCAGCACCTGTAGCAGATCTCTGGGTCCAGTTGGCCAAGCTCCTGTGAAGGGGCGATTGCTCCTAGCAGCAGGTCACCTCCTCCTTTGTCTTTTCTGGTGGTTACATGGATGTTGGTGTTTGAGATTAGACCCAGCCAGATGCTCTGCTCCTGCCATTAAGTTGTCGTGCTTGAATGACTTTTAATAAGGACTCAGAAGTGCAAAAGCACTGCCATTTAACTTTTGACGAACAAACTTATTAAAGTTCAGAACCAGGGCGGAAAGCTAAGTTAGGGGAGCAGATGGAAGGGTTTGAGAAGCAAAAATGTGAGGACAAGGCATCACTGGCTTGCTTACTCAACGTAGAGAGGAAAGGGCACCAGGCCTTTTGCTGGCCCTGGGAGGTGGCGGGGATCCTTGTGATAGAATTGGAAGGAGAGAAGAGTCAGAAGACATGGACAGATGAACAGTTCCCCTACCACAGAATGCCAGATTTCTGATAGCTGCCTTGATGCTGACTGTTGGATATAAGAAAATTTAAACAATTTCCCATAGCAGTGCTATGAACATCAGGGAACTCAGGGAAATTTGGGGTTAATGTAAGTAGTGTTGTTTGTC